GATCTTTTTACCTAGGAAACTTAACTACTCGAGTAGTTAATTGAAAGGATGCCTTCACTGAATTTCGGGCACACTTTGTTTTCTTTTTTTAGCTTTATTTCCATATCCCATTAGCTCTGGATTGCTTTTGACGGACGTCCTTTTATAAATCTATGATTTCATCAGCTGTCGTTCTTTTTGTACCATCCCAGTCTTCAACCTTGTTCACCAGCCTGCTGTTATGTTCAAATGGGGTTTCGAATTATACGAATTTGCATGCAATCTTAGTTCAAAATCAGTAAAATTGTTAAAAAAGACCACATACTTTCCCGTTTTAAGCACTGATCTGGAGTCTATTCTGCTTATTACAGACCACATATTCCGTACTTTATTAAGTGTCTATTTAGCAGTATGACGCACAGTCTACCTCTAATTCACCAAATTATGTTTCACTAATTCCCCATACTATTTGGAAGTCTGCGTGGTAAGAACCATTAATCGAAAATTATATGATGTTTAACTTCTCCGACGTTACATATCTCTGATAAAATAAACCTTTGTTTAAGTTCACAAAATTGTGCGGTTCTCGTTGAAAATGACGGGTAAGACGGCGGTGCATGTTCATTCGCCTTTTTTAGATGCTTTTTATACAGATGAGGGACTTGAGGACTTTCAGGATGATGAAACGGAAGAGTTACAAATGAGAGAAGATGATCCGGAGAATGACGATGATGAAATTACTCCAGACCTCTGGCAGGAGGCCTGCTGGATAGTTATTAGCAGCTACTTCGACGAAAAGGGATTAGTCAGACAGCAGTTGGATTCTTTCGACGAATTTATCCAGACTTCGGTCCAAAAGATCGTCGAAGATTCGCCAGTGATCGAACTGCAGGCTGAGGCTCAACATTTGTCAGGGGTCATCGAAACGCCGGTACTTAACGTTTCCATGTCTAACTTAGCTGGCTTAGGTGCAATATGCTCTGCGCTTTGAGCAAATCTACCTTAGCAAGGCAACACACTGGGAGAAGGATGGTTCTTCGAACCCAATGACACCTAATGATGCGCGCCTCAGAAACCTTACTTACGCCGCGCCCCTCTACGTGGACGTTGTAAAGAAAGTCATCCGCGACGGTTATGAGGAAGAAAAGAAATATGAAAAGAAGTTTATCGGAAAGATCCCAATTATGCTTAGGTACTTTTCTCTTTGGCAACATATACCCCTTAAGGTCGAGCTATTGTATACTAGCCGTAATGAGTGACCGCGATCTTGCGGAGCTCAACGAATGCCCTCTCGACCCTGGTGGATATTTTATTATAAACGGTTCTGAGAAAGTGTTAATAGCTCAGGAGAAAATGGCCACAAATACAGGTGAGTGTTAGTTGTTGGTTTACCCCCCCCCCAGTCTATGTCTTTCAACAAAAGGACAGCAAATATGCATACAAAACCGAAATTCGGTCTTGTCTTGAACACAGCTCAC